AGATGCTTTCCTTCTACAGTGTAGCAATATAAACTACAGTAATAATACACATTTTAATTCTTGTTTTTGATAGTAATTTGGTTTACATTGTATCAGGTATTGGTAACATGCATATTTATTTACATTTTTGAACACATGAATGATTAATCACAAGAGACAATTTTTGGATAATTTTTTTTTTTCAGAATTAATATGTAGAAGCTTTTTTTTGCGCTGTCATTTTACATTCTTGTTTGAACATATTGAACCTTGACTTCAATCTGCGTTGACAAGTTGCTAAAACCCTTCAAATGGAACATAATAAACAATGCACATTATTTCTAGTAAATAATGAAAGTTATTCATGCATCAGTTTCAATGAATGATAAAGCATGGATGAAATCCTTTGATAAAGCGAAATAAAAAAAAATAGTAAAGTTCTTCTATGTGCTACAGTATCTTTACTTCTGGACAATTTTGACATGGCCTGGATTGTAAACAATTCAGATAAATGTGAATTATTGAAATGTAAGCGTTGTAATAATTAATGATAGTAATATTGTCTGGCATATAATGCAGCCTACAAAATTTCAAGTTGGCATTCCACAATTTTTGAGAATATTGACGAACAAGAATTGGCACAGGTTTTTTGGCAACCTATAGTAGATTTTCCATGCTTCAGCATCCACCGTATTTTACACTGCAATCTGAGGCATGGTTTCCACTGAGACAGATCGTACCGGAAACTACATTTATGTACGTTGTACCCGAGGAAAATTTGCCAATCGTAAAACAAATTTTTTGTAAAATATTAATAGGCAATAATATATAATCCACATGCGACTCCTCTTTCTACTCTTTGCCAAATGTGGGCCTCTTTACTATCTAATAGTAGCAAAGTTGTTGTAGATTTGTAAGGGTACAATGTGTTAATGACTTCATAAACTTGAGTATTTGTAAAAACACGGAGGATTGAAAGTTGGCAAGTTTTTGCTGGCCTATTTTTATCCTCATTTTGGGCCTTGCGGGGACTTAGCAGGGGATGTAATTTCCAAAATGGTTACATGCATGTGAGAGTCCCGGCCACCTCCTAGCAATGCGGAGCATCGTTTTAATGTACATCCCCGGCTAAGTCCCCGCCACACCGCCGTAGTCCTGGGAAAATGCCTCGCTAATAAATGATTGGAGGATAAAACCTACTTGAAGGTTTAGCCTACAGTAGGTCTGAATCGGAGAAGCAACGTGAGAGCTAGGCCAAGGAGATGAGGTTCCTTGATGGAAGCACTACGCGTGCGTATCACTTAGCAGTTTCCATGGAAGTTTGGACTACAATTGACAAGTGCATAATTGATGTTTATTGATAATAATTGTTTGGAATTGTAAGTCAAATGTTTTTTCTTTGCAGTGCTTGTGACCTTTCTAGAGTAAGTTACTTCCTGTTTTTGTAAACTACAGTACTGTACTATATTATTATTATGGTATTACCCCAGCAGGACTTAACTCTGTAGGAATCCACTTTCCTTTTTTCAAAATAATGTATAGGTAGTTCATGGCATTTCCCCCTGTCGAGTTTAAATACAGTCAAATTAAGAGCCTTGGCTGGTGTACAGTAGCCTAGCATTCGCTTCATTTCTAATAACTTATATTACATGGAAACCAAAATTTGCCCTAGTTGGAGTGATTTTGAATTAAAAAAAAAAAAATTAGTATTTACAGTAGGCCTAGTGTGTGGCAAGTTGATTGCTAAAGTTGTTAAATTTCCAATTGATCTACAGTACTACATGTTCAGACGTCTCTAAAATCTGATTTGCAGAACAGATTTCGTTCTTTTGAATACAGCAGTTGTAGTCACTTTTCAGATTGCCCCTGTGATTTGTTTTTTCATTATGGAGGTGTTGATTGGATGGGCAGCATGTGTTGTAATTATCAGAGTAATTGTGGAACAAGGTTTTATCTCAAAGTGCACTCAACCATTACATCCAAAGGTAGATGTTTATTGCTGTTGATAACATCACTGTTTATGATATCCGAGAGCAACTTTGATATGTCGCATTAATTTAAACCATTTAGTATGTCAGGGACATTTTAGGTTATCACCTTTATGATAATTATGGTCATTAGCATTACAGGTGGGAACTGCTGTATGCACTGACTATATATCCTTATTGTGAAATATTAGATTTATCTGACACAGTAAGTCATTATAAATTGGTTGGACTCTACTCACTGTTAGGTCATATCTGCAATAAGTTCATCGAGGTACATAGGTAAAGGTAAAGGTAGGAGAATAACCCATAACTTGCAGCGTCATTGTGCTGAATTGCGTATGGGCGTGGTCCATGACTACCTAGCAGCCGTAAAGAGGCGCTTCTTGGTAGATACATGTTCACATCATTCCACAACGACAGGGGCTGAAATGAACCATAAC